ACGTTTGATTAAAACCTGACACAGGTATCTGAAGTATGTTATTTGACAGAAACAAAGAAACTTGCCATTTTAACTCTGGAAAATATCATATGTAGCTACATACCTGTGGCAACGTAGCTATGTGTTTTCTGAGATGTGTACTTCGAAAACTTCCTGGATTCTTCAATCATCAATCTCAAAGATATCCTGGTTACCTTAATGTCCAACAGCTGATCTGTTGGTGTAATTTTCATTTGTCATTCTCCCAACTTCTCCTGATTTTTTCTTTTTTTTTTCCTTAGAGAGTGACCAAGTTTTAATGCTAATGAAGGAATGTCACATATCAAACTTTGCTGCATGCAACATATCCTTCACTGTCATAGATTATGGTTTTATCTGTTTGTCTCACTTTCTCCAATAATGTTCCTATTTCCCTCATTCTGGCACAGGTAAAAGGATTGTGATCTTTTCCTTTGCAAGAAAGTATGTTCTTGCCAAATTTTGATATTATTTCGTCATTTACACACACCATCCTAACAGAATCCATTCCCATTGTATCAAACAAATCTGGATTCATCTTTTCCATTTTGATGTGATTGATTTAAGGATGTCATAGGCATGCGACTGTCCTTAAGTCATGCTTTCTGTGGCTTGTGGTCATTCTGGTCACACAGAAAAGAATCTGTTTTCTTGTATTTCTGATGATAATGTTTTCATTTTAATCTGTAAGCAACTGAAAAATATGGAAATATTGGCAGATAATATACTTGGTAATACATTCAGGATTTATTGAAATTTGCAAAGAAAAGTCAGGATAATTATTTTTTTAAAAATGTGAAAATACAAACGATATATAGTGTAAAATGATGTTTCATGAATACATAATTCATGAATGTCCTGACAATATATACATAGCTACCATCAGGTAATGTATTATATATCACTGACACAGGGATTTAATGTTGGTGAATAGAAAATTATATGTTTATTAATCGTTAATTAACTAAATCTATACTGATAGATCAGCAATGATATACTATAATTATAACAGAATTTATATAACATCTGTGAGTGTGAATGAATTATGAGTTAATCATTGGTTCCATCTCTTCATCTGAACTATAGAATATACTTTTTTACTGATGTTCCTATAATTTTCTTTAGTATATAATTTTATGTTTAGTGAGTTGAATACCACAAAATGTGAAAGTGCATTGTATAGTTAGGTACCCGTATTATTAAGGTGTTCATTTGATGTTTGTATCACCTGTTAACTGCCGTGGTCATTTTGAGGCGGGGTCTCCTTGTAATACTTAGTAACTACCTCACCGAACATCCAGGAGGACTGTCGCATGTCATTCAAGGACACAACCAACGGCTTCCCAAGAAACACCGACAGCGAATGTCGAACACGCACCTCAGATCTTTACCCGAGGATAGTGACCACACTGACCAGCGCTCAAACCGACTGAGCTCTCGCAGCCATTTCATTTCATGCAAACAATGAACGTTTGCATTGTGCTAATTCTGATTTCATAATTGCAGAAAAATACCATTTATTGCTATCATAAACACCATTTCCTTTCAAAAGCAAGACTTTAAATTATTTGATGATTATAATCAGCTTAACTGTAAATATTTTTTGGTATAAGGTATTAAAATTAAATACAAAATACAAAATTTCAAGATATATGAATGTGTAAGGTGTGTATGACCCATCCGAAGACGGGCACAAACACATTCGTCTCGGTGGTTGTCTCTATAGCCCGGACACCATTCACCGATAACAGGTTTAACGGAGTGCAGTTTGTTATTGGTATAGGAATTCAAATCATACTGCCACTGAGCTTTTAAAATTTGTTTAATTATAATCAATAGTATTACATTCTTAACGGCCCATCAATACCTAAGAGGTCATTAGGATCATCAAACGGTAAAACACACAGCGATCCAAAAAGAAATAAAAAAACAAATGTGAAATCGTATAGCACGACGGGCTTTCACCCAAGTAATTTTGTAGTTGTTTAAGCTATCGATTGTGGGGTTGTTTTTGAATTACCTCATAACGAGTTTCCTATTTCAAATAGCTTTATCACAATCTTCTTTAATCCAAGGTTTTTTTTTATTGCATTGTCTTTTAGATTTTGGTATACATTCTTCGGCTATCTCAAGAAGTTCGGTAGTAAAGGATTCTTGTCGGGTCTTCTCAATTCAAGAAATCAATGGTGTTGAGAATTTTGGTACCGAGATGTTCAAATTTACTTCAATCTGCTTTATATAATTTCCAATGGGGTACATGATTTTCAATGTGTTCCAGTCATTAGTGTCGAGTGAACCCCAAAGATTGTTGTGACCATTAAAGGAGTTCTTCTAGTTGGTTGTTTGTAAAGTCAGAGTTTGGAGGGAGATAGATGGAGCATACTGTTAGCGTTCTATGGAGCGTAACAGTAACAGCAGTTGCAAGGGGGACGGGGAAAATTACAACAGATAGCACCAGAACAGGAAGTGTATTTTTTTCGGCATGCGCACTTCTGTACTTTCGGTTTCTATTAATATATTTCATTCAACATAATACTTTGCTGGTATATAACATGTGTCAAATCTGTAGTTTAAAAGGTATATTCCTTCGGCTGCAATAAGTACACTGTAAGTACGGTACAGTAGTCTACATTGTACGTGTGTATGTGACTCGAGCAATAATTTTGGTATATCCCCATTTTAGACAATGACTAGTTCTCATGACAAAAAAATGAGAGAAAATATCAACTGTTCATAGCTGTTTATTAACAAATCCATATAACATGTTAATTCAAGCAATATGAAAGAAGCATAAACGTAAAATAATAACTGTTTTAACTCAATAATTAATTATGTTATATGTATGTGTTTACATCCATCAGAGAGATGCAGTAAGTAAAGAACACCCATATCAGAGGCATATATATAACACATGAGATATACATACATCTCTGCCCTTATTAAATTGCAACACAGACAATGTGAACAAGAACTACACTCTCACACATCAAGTTCTATCTGTTGTCATTTCACTGTATCAGTTCTATCTGTTGTCATTTCAATATTACAACAGATACCACCAGTCTACACTCCCTCCCATCATTTTCTGGTTCTATCTGTTGTCATTTCAATATTACAACAGATACCACCATATCTACACCCTGTCACATCATTTTCTGGTTCTATCTGTTGTCATTTCAATATTACAACAGATACCACCAGTCTACACACATCTTTGTCTAGTTCTATCTGTTGTCATTTCAATATTACAACAGATACCACCAGATCTACACTCCCTCACATCATTTTCTGGTTCTATCTGTTGTCATTTCAATATTACAACAGATACCACCAGTCGACACACCCACACATCATTGTCTGGTTCTATCTGTTGTCATTTCAATATTGCAACAGATACCACCAGATCTACACCCTCTCACATCATTGTCTGGTTCTATCTGTTGTCATTTTAATATTACAATAGATACCACCAGATCTTCACTCTCACACATCATTGTCTGGTTCTATCTGTTGTCATTTCAATATTACAACAGATACCACCAGATCTACATCCTCTCACATCATTGTCTGGTTCTATCTGTTGTCATTTCAATATTACAACAGATACCAACAGATCTACACTCCCTCACATCATTTTCTGGTTCTATCTGTTGTCATTTCAATATTACAACAGATACCACCAGTCTACACTCCCTCACATCTACAATATTACAACTCCCTCACATCATTTTCTGGTTCTATCTGTTGTCATTTCAATATTACAACAGATACCACCAGATCTACACTCCCTCACATCATTTTCTGGTTCTATCTGTTGTCATTTCAATATTACAACAGATACCACCAGTCTACACTCCCTCACATCATTTTCTGGTTCTATCTGTTGTCATTTCAATATTACAACAGATACCACCAGATCTACATCCCTATCTGTTGTCACATCATTTTCTGGTTCTATCTGTTGTCATTTCAATATTACAACAGATACCACCAGTCTACACTCCCTAACATCTTTGTCTAGTTCTATCTGTTGTCATTTCAATATTACAACAGATACCACCAGATCTACACTCCCTCACATCATTTTCTGGTTCTATCTGTTGTCATTTCAATATTACAACAGATACCACCAGTCTACACTCCCTCACATCATTTTCTGGTTCTATCTGTTGTCATTTCAATATTACAACAGATACCACCAGATCTACACTCTCTCACATCATTGTCTGGTTCTATCTGTTGTCATTTCAATATTACAACAGATACCACCAGATCTACACTCCCTCACATCATTTTCTGGTTCTATCTGTTGTCATTTCAATATTACAACAGATACCACCCGTCTACACTCCCTCACATCATTTTCTGGTTCTATCTGTTGTCATTTCAATATTACACAGACACTAACATCTTTGTCTAGTTCTATCTGTTGTCATTTCAATATTACAACAGATACCACTACACTCCCTCACATCATTTTCTGGTTCTATCTGTTGTCATCTACACTCCCTCACATCATTTTCTGGTTCTATCTGTTGTCATTTCAATATTACAACAGATACCACACTCCCTAACATCTTTGTCTAGTTCTATCTGTCATTTCAATATTACACAGATACCACCTCACATCATTGTCTGGTTCTATCTGTTGTCATTTCAATATTACAACAGATACCACCAGATCTACACTCCCTCACATCATCATCTGTTGTCATTTCAATATTACAACAGATACCACCAGATCTACACCCTGTCACATCATTGTCTGGTTCTATCTGTTGTCATTTCAATATTACAACAGATACCACCAGATCTACACTCTCTCACATCATTGTCTGGTTCTATCTGTTGTCATTTCAATATTACAACAGATTCTCTCACATCATTGTCTGGTTCTATCTGTTGTCATTTCAATATTACAACACTACACTCTCTCACATCATTGTCTGGTTCTATCTGTTGTCATTTCAATATTACAACAGATACCACCAGATCTACACCCTGTCACATCATTTTCTGGTTCTATCTGTTGTCATTTCAATATTACAACAGATACCACCAGATCTACACTCTCACACATCATTGTCTGGTTTTTATTTGTTTTCATTTCAATATCACAACAGATAGAACCAGATCAAGACTCTCTCACTGCCTTCACTGGCATTTGATTCCTAATTTGCAGCCCACCATCATAAGAAAGTAGGATGTTCAAGTTTGCCTTTGGTTCTGGTCCATGGTCAGTCCATTTTGTTACCACTTTTTTTTCCATTTTTTTTGTAGGTTCCCCTCTCCCGTTGTGCATTGTACTGTCTTTCGTTATCACTATTTTTCAGATATTACTGAATGAATCTTTTTTCACATTTGATATGTAGGCCCATCTCGGTTCCTAGTTGTCCAATTGTCTTTTTTTGGGCTGATTCAAGAAGCAACATGGCCGCTGGCCGCCATCTTGGATTTTGACTGGCAAGTTGGTTATCACTATTCTCCAGAAGTACAGTATGAATGTTTTTCAAAATTCACAAGTAGGTTTCCCTTCCTTCCTAGTTGTGAATTGTACTACAATACTTCGTATGCTTGTAATAACCTTGAATGTCACAATCATTTGAAATACTTCACTGCACATGAATAGTTCTCAAAAATATTATGATACAAAAATAATGCTACTATTGGTTATTCAGATGACGATGACACTTGGTAAAAACGCTCACTGATACTGAGCAACACATATGGGGCAAATGTAGTCACTCCTCGGAGCATCTTTAAGTCCTACACAAGGCAGATGTGACCATCTCCCACAAACGTTGCATGCAACCCATGTTGCTCTTTTTGGGGAGGTACAGCCCACCATGTCACATTTGCTCCTTTGAGAAGGAGGCTCTTCAGATGCTGCAAGTAGTTTGCACCACACAAACTCCCTCATGTTCAGAGAAAGGGAATGTGAGACATCCTTAAGGTCCATATTCTTGGACAGCGCAAGAGCATTCTGTAAAACAAGAAAACTAAACATTACATAAACTATTTAGATTCATGTCTGTGTTTAATGTTACATATGTTAAAACTTAAGTTCACTGTAAAAGCACTAAATGACATCATTGAACAGTATTAGATTTTTAAATTACAACTTCCATGATGGTCAGTTCAATAGTTCTATTATAGTTCAATCCAACCATAAATTTGTAACAAGAGACCCAGAGGACCAGTATCGCTAGGCATAATAACAAGTTGGCAAACAAGGGATCTAAGTGCTTTTCTTTTCCTTAAACAATGCTTCAAGATGTTCTGGTCACTAGAATAGGTCGTGTAAACAAATTTGACACATCAACCTTTAATATGGGTGATAGTTTTTTTATCAACTTTGCTGGGCTTCCTCTATGGAACCTTCCATGTAAATATAACTTTAAATGTTTAAGTTAATCATCAGAAGTTATTTCAATGATTTAACATATTTCATTCTAATACGGGTCAAGGTCATTTTTCTTACAAACTTCATCCAAGGAACCTTTCAGCCAAATAGCATGTTCCTGGGCCTTTTGGTTGTTGCAATAATAAGTTGTTTAAATAGAAAACTAGAAAATGTCTGTAAGACATAGATGCCCCCGCCCCCATGTAAATCAATTTTAAATTGTACATAAGATAGGGTTTCTTTGGGATCTATTAATACCAACAGTGACCTCGACCTTGGAAACATTGAAATCCTCACTGCCTGAGGTCTCTCAATTAATTTTATATTTGTATGAAGTTTGATAATTAAACTAGCTTCTTTGTGTCCAAAAAACCCTATATACCAAATTTTGTATAACTCTGATGATGTTCATGATGTTTCGAGTTATCTCTCCCTGGTGGGGAATTAGTTTTCTATTTACAAAACAGACATCACTATGCAGTTTGTAATGGCACCAAACCCCTTTATACCAATTTTCCGCAAAATAGGACATTAATTCAATTTTTGGTGTAAGAGTTATCTCCCCATAGTAGAGGGTTATCTTCCCAAGGTGGACATTTTGTCTTTTTGAAAAACAGAGGTAACCATTGTCTTCCTTATGCCTTAAAACCCACAAGTACCAAATTATGTAGAAATCAGATGATGTTCATCTTTTTTCAGTTATCTCCCCCTGGTGGCCATTTGTAGAATGCCGAGAAACTCAACACTGCATGAGGTCTTTCCATACTTGATGTTTGTATGAAGTTTCATGAAAATTGGTATATACTGTTATATACTGATTTGGGAAGCGACGGGACGGGACGGACCGACATGGGCAATGCTATATGCCCCTGGCAATAAATGGCAGGGGCATTAAAATAGTATAACGGCCAGACGGACGGTATGGTGCTTGCAATGGCCTAAGCTCACTTGGCCTTTTGGGCTGGATGAGTTAAAAACATAATTTAAAAAATAATCCAGGTTTATGACTAGAGTTTAATGCAATTACCGTATCTCATAATTATTTTCTAACAATTATGTCAATATCATAAGGAGTTGCGGTTTTCAGCTCACCTGCACGAAGGGCAAGTGAGCTTATGCCGTGGTGCAGCGTCCGTCGTCCGGCCGTCCGTCTGGCGTCAACTTTTCTATTCAACCAACTTCTTCTCTATAACTAGAAGGCCCAGGCTTCTGATATTTCGCTTGTAGCAAGCTGGGATGAAGCCCTACCAAGTTTGTTCAAATGAATGACGTTGACCCACTTTCAAGGTCACAGGGGTCAAATGTGTTAAAATCTTTAAACAACTTTTTCTCAATAACCAAAAGGCCCAGAGTGCTGATATTGGATCTGTAGCAAGCTGGGATGAAGCCCTACCAAGTTTCTTCAAATGAATGACCTGGACCCACTTTTAAGGTCACAGGGGTCAAATATGTTAAGATATTTAAACGACTTCTTCTCAATAAACATTATAAGGCCCAAAGTACTGATATTAAGCCTGTAGCTGGAGTGCAACCAAGTTTGTTGAAATGAATGACCTTGACCCAATTTCAAGGTAACATGAAAGTACAATTTTAACTTTCTGACATGCTTTGGCAGGTGAGCGATACAGGCCCATTGGGCCTCTTGTTCTGGCTAACAATCCTTACCAGCATCACAAAGGACCCACAAGCATTGCCATCTTTCTGTCTGGAAGACACCAGATCCCCAGTTTTCCATACTTTATTTCCGAGTTCTCCAGTTTTTTCTGAGCGTATGGTCATGTACCTTCTGTGCAAATGTATAAATTTATTATACTTAGCTGAGATATCATATAAAAGTTTACTAAACAAATTCAAAATTACTGCATCTGTCAACAAGAGGCCCATGGGCCTTAACGGTCATCTGACTACAAAGACCTACATATGATTTTTTCTTTTCCATTTTAAGAAGTTGTCTAAGATTCTTACAAACTAAAGCACAGCAACATTGAAACAGGAAAGAGGATATTTATTTCAACAAAATTGGTAGCCCTTCACATATTTGACCCTGTGACCTTGAAAGTGGGTCTAGGTCATTCATTTGAACAAACTTGGTAGCCCTTCATCCCAGCATGCTACAGGCCCAATATCAGCACTCTGGGACTTTTGGTTATTGAGAAGAAGTTGTTTAAAGATTTTAACATATTTCACCCCTGTGACCTTGAAAGTGGGTCAAGGTCATTAATTTGAACAAACTTGGTAGGGCTCCATGCCAGCATGCTATGGGCCAAATATCAACACTCTGGGCCTTTTGGCCGTTTGAATGAAAAGTTTACCATGCCAGCACTATGGGCCAAATATCAACACTCTGGGCCGGAGAAGAAGTCGTTTGAATGAAAAGACGACGGACGGGACGACGAAGCATGATGACTATAGGTCATCATGACCCTTCGGGTCAGATGACCTAAAAAGCTTATCTAACGTGGTGCTCGAATATTATAATGCTTACTTCCAGTTCTCAATAAGTGCCTGATTGTTGCCACCCATGGAGTCGAGCACAGACACAGCTGCTTGAGGTACATTGGCTGCAAGGAGGACCCAGTGATTCCCACTCACGTTTGCTGGCAGGAATATCCATTTGTACATTGCAAACTTAACCTGAATTAATCAATTAATTCATCAAAACTTATCCATCCATAGCCTCTTTGCTTTGGCTCATAGATATAATAATGTTTTGAACATGTACAAAAAACTTCTGTTAGGATATACTTAAACAAATAGCCGTACAATATCAAAAACACATACAGTGTATGCTAAACAAAAAAATAATTACATCTGCCTTTTCTGTACAGGTTCAAACACATTTTCAAAGAGAGAAACCTGGACATTAGGTAATCAAAGAAATATCTACGGATCCATCACTTGGTAAAGAGTACATGTAACTGTCAAAATTAATTATGACAATATTACAAAACAAAGAAGTAGAATTACAAATCATTACTGATATAATTTACACTAAGTAACAACTTGTTTAAATGATTCTCAAATGAAATTATTGGGCCATTTATACTTACATCAGAATAGAGCCAATGGTCTATTTTGCCTTGGCCCCATAACACTGCCATGTAGGACGGCATGGCAAAAACATGGTCAATGATCTTTAGATTCTGTTCCCTCTGAAGAACTGCCAAATATGCATTGATAACCTAACAACAAAAATAATTGAAGCATCTAAATTGTGTAATTTGAACATAATATCTAATCAATTTGACTTTTAAAAATTATTTTTAGGCTTGCAGGTATGACTATTTCATTACTGAACAATATTTGGCAATCTGGCAATACTATTTGAATTATGCTTTATCATAATTATCTTGTTATTACGAATTAACTTTGGGTACCAATGATATTGAATTAAATTGACTTCAATTTCTGACACAGAAACTTCCATTTTGTACATTTTCCAGAGTCATTGATCACATAGGATATAAATGATCTAATTTCCATTTGATATTGATTATGAAATTGGTCACAAGTATCCATGTTACCCTGTCAGAGGCTCCCTAAACTGAAAATTCTCAGACTACGATTGTTTGAATATAATGTCCTGCCTTTTACCTTATCATTAAGCCACTTGGGATTTTTCAGGGTAAGGAAATCCTTCATGCCCAACACTTCTCCACAGACATGGTATCTGCAGTTTTTCTTAAGAGGAGCTGATGTTGACTGCATGATCTCCACGTTGATAAGGTCCTCCAGTGACTTGTCTTAATACAATATAAAACTTTTATTTAGCTGAACTGTATCTACTGGGGTATTATACCCAAGTACTTTATATAGATAAAATATTGTACTTGTAGGCATGAAAATGATATTTCATTTTATATTTTAAAACTTACTAGCAGATTCGTGATCAATTTATGAAAGTAATAGATTTACAAAGAAACACATTATGATTGAAATAAATTACTTTTAACAACCCAAAGGATGTGCTGAAGATTTCAATTTCATTTATATCTGTTGCACATGCTATTTCCACTTTTGATCAGAGAGGACAGCATCTTACCTTTGTGATCAACAGTTGAAGGGAGATTAAACCTGACCCTTTTTCCTTTCTTCAGCTTTAGTTCTTCATTTCATGAAAAGTTAAAAAAAAAGTTTGCAAAGTCGTATTCAAAGTTTATGTATGATATACATGGCATGAATATTGCTATCTCCATTTCTTGTTTTAAACTAAATTAATTTCTAATTGTAAACACTGCTGTAATCGATATTTCAAAAGTACTCACTTGTACTCCTCTGCTCCAGCAAAACTGATGGCAGAGAATCTGACACAGAAGGCACTGGTTCTGAGAAAAATATATTTTCAATATTATGCAAATATTTATTTCTAAAATGTATTTCAATTTGATAATTTTTATTTTAAGTATAAACAAGAGTACCGAGTACGGTACATGATACGCCCACCTGATCTTTCGAGTCAACATTCACAAAACAAGAATTTGGCAGATGGAGTCATTGACGAGATAAATGTAAATTATTACATATGAACTGTCTAGGAATTTACAAGTACAAAAGGCAAGCAGTAGCGATATTATAAGCATGCAGCAAGCAGTATAGTAGTATGTGCATGTACTTGTAGTGATGTAAGGGGAATTTCGCATGTAACAGTAGCACTATACAGCTATATTTGTATTCCTTATGCATGGAGATTGAAAGTGCAAGAAATCATAATAATTAGTTGCGGTATATAAATAAATATTGCACAAAACCATTATACAATGTATAGTTGAATTTGTGATCCTTTAAAACCGCTACATGCCAATTTTCATCAACATTAGACAATATCTAAATTTCACGCAATCAGAAGCCACCACTATCGAAATTTCAACCAATCAGAAGCCTTCATTATGGTCCGTTGAATACAAAACCAATATGGATGAATAGGTGATCCCTTAAAACTCCATACCAATAGGAATACTTGTTTGACAATGATATCTTAACGTAATGGCCATTTGACTAATGTATTACTGTATTTAAAGAAGTTCTTTAAGATCAAGGGCCATAACTCCGCATCTACTGATCAGATGAACTTTAAAATCAACTCGGCTCGAGACCTTTATCCTTTATATATTATTGGGAAGTTTCATTAATATCCCTTCAGTGGTTCTGGAGAAAAACTGCGGACAAGATGAATGTTACTGTATTTAAAGGATAAAGGGCCGTAACTCCGCAACTACTGATCAGATGAGTTTTAAAATCGACTCGGCTCTAGACCTTTATCCTTTATATATTATTGGGAAGTTTCATTATTATCCCTTCAGTGGTTCTGGAGAAAAACTGCAGACAAGATAAATGTTGACGGACGGACGAACCGACGGACGGACGGACGGAGTGATGCCAATATACCCCCACCTTTCAGGTGGGCGTATAAAAAGAAATTGTTACTGAAATACCAAGGAATATTAGCTTATAATATATCAAAATCTTTAAAAATGATTTCTGTTGTAGAAAAATTAACAATATTTATTATAATTAAAAGTATTTGATAAAAAAAATGGAGGTTCAGGAATTTGTGAAGCAAAATTCAAGCTCTAAATGAAAATTAACTGTCAATTACACATTGCCCTGATAATTTCAGTAAGTACATTTTTGTAGTCATTTCTGTCATTTTTCATCTTTGTTTTCTTTGCTTGTACATAAAAGGTGAAAAAATACAAAATGAGCAAAATATTGTATCATTCTTAATAACAATGCCCTTTTTAATATTATCATACTAAAAACACCTGATTGTAATTTATCAATGGCTTTCAGTGCTTCTATCATTTCTCGAAATGCGGCAGCTGCTTCCTCAGTTTCTTTTTTTAGGTCCCTCTTTAGGTCAAATCTGCCTTGCTTGACTAAAAAAAATGGAAAAATAAAACAAGTATTTTTCTTGAATTACATAGATGAAGAAATGTATAGAACAACCTTGATTACTTGATTTCTTTCCTTCTGTGTTAAGAGCTGGACAGTTATCCAAACCTTCCACCCTTACAAATATTATTCTCAAAAGTTGAAATCAGTCATTTAACTTATATTACCATTGGTTAACTATACTTATTGGTTACATCAATTTTATACCTACCCAATAAACACAGCAGGAGGTAAGACAACTTAATTTGCTATTCATGTTTAACTCTGTTGGAGCCAGGTCTGATATATCCTGAATGAGGCTGTGTTGCTCTTCTTCATCACAGCACTCATCCAACACAGCATGGGCTGTCCTGCTAGTGTTGTCAAAGGAAAAGCTAGATGTCTCCTTTGCTTTCTGGACCAATTCCATCCAGTCTTCCTTTGACATCTTCTTTGTCATAGCTGTTTGTAATCAGGTTATATGGATTTTGTTACCATGATGAAAAAATACATAAAAGTTTTAGTAAAATCAGAGAAGATAGGTAAAAGGGATATAAGTTTTATCTTACTTCTTAACTTTAAAGTGTTCACTACTATACATATACACACTGTGTGTAAATTATGTAACATAACACTTATGTTTAAATAGTCCTAATTGATTTATACATCATTAAGCAGTTTCAACCATTAAGACTTAACAGTGGTTACAATATCATACATTCTTAACTTTGGATTCAGGAGCACAGCTTTACTTCTTTATTTATTTCCTGATGATGGTTCTTCACTTTAAAACAAATTTAGGGATTTTGCTTTCATTCATTATAAATATTTCTGCATGATTTCCAAGAAACTACTGGTAATTTTAAAACATTCATACTCCCTCATATTGCATAAAACATAAATTAGTCTTGATAAAGAAGGAAATATAATAACTGAACAGATAAACAACACATGAAGAACAGTACACAGTTGGAATGCAATACCTACCTGTTTCAAGGTGTTATCAACAAGGTGAGGGGGGAAAATGTACAATAAATGACATGATTTGGCAAATCACAGTGCCCCCCGCCGGATAGGGCTGAACTAAATGTTTAGATGAAGGTGAAAATGTAGATCACAGTGACCTGCATTGGGTACAATGATGTATGTGACACACTACTTCATAAATATTAACCCATACAGATAGAAAAGTGGAAAGATGGATGGACATTGCTTATAGCAATTCCAATCCTCTACACCTGTTCCTGCTAAAAAGGTTACAGTTGGTTTGGTACTCTTACTAACCTTGAATTCTTTCCAAAACTTCAAACCTGGAAGTGGAGTACTTGGGAGATTCTACAAAACAACATAAAAATATTCCTTTTAATTGAAACCACACGATACAAATTCAGTGGATACCAATGTAGGTGTACCCTGTGTTAATCAATTTCAGAAATAAATGTATTTATTTTGGAGCACTCAATTTTTTGTGCATTGACAAAATGCAGCCGATAACCTCAAATATAAAGTACTGCTTTAGAAGGACACTGAAATAGGGATTAGTGCAATCGATCTTAGCCCTATGCTATTTGAGCGAAATGCACTAAAACAAATTCACTGAGAGAAAAATTTCATGTATTGTAAATGCCATAAATGTATAAAAATATGTTTGGTATTTAACAAATATAATGTTCTGTATACGACATGGGCTAAGTGTATGTCATGTTTATAACAATATTACCATTGCCAGTTTCCTGTTTTAGTAATTCTGTGTAAAACAACCACTACTATACAAGAAAGTTTGCAATAACGGTCATCTTTTTCTTCATCATAGATTGAAGTGAGCTAGAATCTGAACTCATGCAAAAGCATTTACGGTATTTGTAAGCACACACAAAGAATGATATGATCAGTCTAGAGACCTCACTTGAGAACAATTACGGAACAAATTGTATCAACAATCGAGCCTCTATTGACAGCATGCAATAACCATACATACTTGAAGTACTTTTTTGTACATTTTCTGAAGATCCTCTTACATCACTGATAAATGTCTTTCCTTAAAAAAAATGAAAGAACAGTTTGTATCTGGTTCTTTTCACAGGTCAAAAATTTGATTTTAAGGAATTGAAACTTGAACATCTGGATTCAAGAATATATATATATACATGTATAATGTACTTCATACATACACTTTTATTTCATGGATTGTTTTTGTTTTTGTTTGTTTTTTTGCAACCATATGCTGATTTACCACAGAATCATCTCAATATCATCCTCTCAAAGACAAGCCTACTGAAGCATTACATGTCCCAAACCTACCTAGAAAGCTTGGTGGTGTCTGGTATATATGTTTTAAAAAAATATCTAGGAGAAATTCTAAAAATAGTAACAATGGCCTTGACATAGACCTAACATTTTTGAAACTTGTCTGAGATATAATGGTCTTCAGTTATAGTGTAATGTTTTATAAAAACCCCAAAGGAATAAAGCTATTAAGAGTGTGCATGCCGACAAAGATTTCTGAACATAGTAATGGTGACCTTTACATGACATTCCTCCAACTTGAACTTGTCCGAGATATAACAGTCCTTTAATGTTGAGGGAATTTTCATCAAAATCACAACTTGAAGAATGAGGCCGCTTATTCTCTAAAAATTGTAATGGTGACCTTGACCTTGGCCCAACATCCCTGCAACTCGACCTTGTGCAAGATGTTATGCTAATTCCTAGTTATTGTATCGAGGTTTTATCAGTTCCCATTTGGTATGAAGCCACTATAGATATAGTACCAACAAAGATTTTCTAAAAAAATACAAATAGTAATATGGTGACTTTGATCTTGACTTGACAGTCCTGAAGCTCAGACTCCCCCAAGATACTTTAATCCTTTGCAAGTACCAGATATTAGATTAAAATATATGTAAGCAGACAACAATTTGTGACGAGAGATTATATACATACTGGTCTTTTTCCTTTTGTGTTTTTTTTCCAAAGGCTTAGCTTCATCTTTGATGGATTCCTTTACTGAATGAAACAGAGCACCAGAATCTGCAATATAAGCTGATGTTCAAATGTTGTAATATACTAAAAACTATTTTATAACTAAATTGATAAGTTAATAAATAAATAATATTCATGACTCATTACCATTTCTCTTAATTAAAATTATCTTTGATGCCTTCTGTGACATCAGAATAATTCAACAATATATAAATACACTAAAAATTTACTTCGATTTATTTAAATTGTTTTAAAATGGTTACAGTTAATTTAACGACTTAATGTCTGTTACATCATCATGATTAGTACTGAATTGGCATTAGGAAATTAAAACACTGAGAATCAACCAAGAACTTTAACCTTATTCAATCAGCTTAAATAAATACATCATCTAAATGAGTTCTACTTAAACACCTTTTTGTAAAAGAGAGCGTATGTAAGTAACTTCCATTTTTCATATTTGAGATCTTTGTCATTCTCAAGAAAGTTTGGAGTGTTGTGTTGACACTAACTAGACACTGAATGATAAATTTCAGTCACTTAATCTACATAAAGTTGTCTCATTGAGGATTTTCTAAAATGTCAATAACTCACCATCATATACTGTCTGATATTTGTCTGAAAATGGACAAAATAAAAAATCAACCAACAACTAATACCTGCTGGCTAAGTACCAGATTTCATTCCTGCTGTTAAACTGTCTAAATACTGTTATATTATCACTGAAATCTAAATTTCAAAGACTGTCAAGTAACAAAACAAATCACCCTATTGCTCAATGAATTCAACCTGGCCTGTAAAACACCAACCTATGTAATACATGCCAAATAGTGACTTTTATGGAATTTTAATATGATTGATCTGAATTGCAACAAGAGACCCAAAGGTGTTAATGGTCATTTGATCGAAACATTGACACTGTACATTTTTTTTAGAAACTGTCTAATTGAAACAAGAAGGCCAATCGGCCTAAAGATTTTGCAGGTTAAGTCCTGTTGTGGAACTTTACAACCAACTTCAAACTGCACTATGACATGAAATACTCCATGGATGATTATCATCCCAGCATGCATCATGCCAGATTTCATCATTTTTCATCCTGGTGAATTTGAAGTAGTTCAAGGTCATTCATATGAAAAAATTTAACTTCGTTTAATATATAGCCCTTCGTCCAGAAATACAGGCCTAATATTAATACTCTAACCTTTCAGTTCTTGAGAAGAAGTTGTTTGAAGGGGAAAAGATTCTGTTTGGTGCATAAAGAATGGCACACAATGACAGCTGATGCATATCATCTTAAACTTTATGGTTAGATGACCTAAAAAGAAATTTATTTAGACTACTAGTCTCAGTTATGGTAACAAATCATCAGTGCATATCTTCTTGCAAATGAAAGTACAGGTATTGCCTGAAATCAGTGTTCATTATACTAACGTTTGGTAGTACGTCTTCTCTTGGCCCTAGTTGGTAACTGTTTCAAAGACTCTTTGTTGTTGGGAAATTTTCTCTTTTTAGTAAAGATCTTGGCTGGTGCAGGCTGCTCCAAAAGCAAAGTTCCACTAGCTGGACATTTCTGTCTCAGTTGATCAGCTATTGCTGACAGCTGCTCCCTCACTTCCTCCATCACCTCCATACAATCTGCGATGTAGGAAAGGTTACGGATATACTGCAGCAGCTCCCTGACCCGCTTGGCAGACTCCCCTAGTGAAGGCCCATGAGGATGCTTCTGGTCTTTGACTTCTATGTCCTCTCTAGCCTGGCATGGAGCTGGTGTGGTATTTCCTTGGGATTCCTGAGGGGTATCTTGGAACTCTGTCAGGTTTACACAATCCTCATCAATGATGAAATGAGGGTTGTTTATGTAGAATTCTGGCAAGGAGTTCCAAGTAATATCACCTGCAAAATGGCACATCAAAGCACAGAAATGTTTGCAAGGAAGATGTGTTTTCATAAATTCCCTGCACTCACAAGATGGCATAATGGATTCTCCACCCAAACTGACTCTGTAGACACGTGACTGATGGCTAGCTGACTGCACTAGAAACTCTGTATCTGTCACCGAGGTGATCATGCTGGCAGTGATGTCTGCACACTTTTGTGTGGCATCCCTGATGTGCTGTACAAAGTACCTGGGTCGGTGGTGGAGCTCTTTTGGAATGGAGACAGATGGCTCCCTCCAACCAGCTGACATGGTAACATTGCTCTGAAGATATCTGGAAAAGGTAAAATATTTACAGGTAAATTAATTGAAACCGTAGCAATGGTAGGAGCTAAGATTGCGGAATGTAAAATGCATGCTGGTATTGATGATATTGAGAGAAAAGTTTATCCTAATTATATCCTCATTTTATCCTAATTCTTTTATGTGTAATATACACTGCAAAATGTTCAATATTATATCATAAAATAAACAGGAGTGACATGTCTATGAAATTCTATACCATATGTCATTAATCTCACTTGTCTTTGGTGTGGAGCATCATTAGGTTAACAGACTTACCATGTCAGCGCATCGTATTTACATACTTGTCGGAGTAATTCAACCAAAACGTCATTACCCGCCGGTAATTTGGCTTAAGAAATAGTAAGCAGAATATGCTTGTACTTCAATGAATCATTTCATTAATTGCTTTTGTTACCTTATTTTATTAAGCAATAGGTATTATTGGTTAATCTCTAGTTAAAAAATCCTACAAGTTTACAAACAGAATGATTGGCAGTAACAGTTAAATAACAAGGCAAGCACACTGTAACAAACAATCTTCAATTCATGTAACAGCAGTAATAACATCAAATAGGACATTTCTGATTATTAGTGCATAACACATGATTTTGGTCATATTTGACATTGGATGGTGGATTAATACATATACAACACCAAACACAAATAACAAGTAAATTCTCAATCTGCAGGTTTCCTTTAGGGGGTTCATTTTAAGAGTTATATTCAACACTGATTTTTTTATATTCACTTGCTTTCCTTCCTTTGGATTATTATAACAAAAACCCATAACCGCTAGGAAGCGTCAGTACAAAAAACAGGCCGATAAAATTCAGACCACATTAAAACAACGCCTCCTGAATATTAAAGGTAAGCCTAAGCCATATCAGCTTTGCCGAATTATTCACATTGGTACTGATGGTCGTCGTTGTGTGAAGATATCAGTGAAAAGACTTCCACAACATGAATTAAGATGCTTGACGACATCCTCACCGCTGCATATATCTTGTCACACAACAACATTGCCCCCTGTGGAAGGTTACAGATTAATGAATTTGTCCAACTTCTCACAACATCTTAATACTACAACGGAACATGCTATATCATGTACTGCGGCAATTTCTGCTATTAAGAAAGGACAGCAAGCATTTCAGTTGGTGTCAGAGGTAAGGCAGGCAGGTCTCATTAGTACATTGGTTGCATTATGTTGTTGTGGTAAGAAATTTTACTTTGACACCAGTAGCAGAGATACGAGTGAAAGCATACCACATTTTGATGTAAACTTCAGAGCAGTGTGGGGAACAATGTCAACTGGGAGTGGCCTTTCGAAAATGACAGAATTTTTAGGAACAATTGGTGTTCCTGGGATTCCACATGGGCGTTACACTAACATTGAAAGGACAATTGGAAAACTGTGGGCTTCTTCATTACAGGAAGATATGATTGCTACTGGCTTGGAGGAACGTAAGTTGGCCATAGAAAGAGGCGATTTTCATCAAGGTGTGCCTGCAATCACTGTAGTATGTGATGGTGGTTGGTCCAAGAGGAGCCATCGCCACACATATGATGCTCTGGGTGGTGTTGCTGTCATTTTCGGGGCAGCGACTGGTAAGTTGCTGCATATTGGAGTCCGGAACCGGCATTGCCATACCTGTACCATTAGTGAGACCAACAACAAAGATCCTGTGCCTCATGAATGTTTTAAAAACTGGGAAGAAAGTAGTCAAGCAATGGAAGCGGATGTTATTTGTGAAGGGTTTTTGGAAGCGGAAAGCAAGCATGGTGTCCGCTACATGCGAATCATTGCAGATGGTGACAGTTCTGTTTTCACCCGAATCCAACAAGCTATTCCAGTCTGGGGAAAAGATGTGGAAGAGTTGGAGTGTGCCAACCACTCCTGTAAATGCCTTAGATCTAGCTTGGAGAAGTTGGTATCAGAGAAACCTCACTACAAAGGCAAAGGCAAACTTACGAAACAGATACGTATCCGTCTGGCAACAGCAGTAAGATGCGCTATTCGAATGAGATCTGCCGAAACAAATAAATTGGATGCTACCAAACAGCTTGCAAAGGACATAAGGAATGCCGTTTATCATGTTTTTGGTGACCACAGACAGTGTAGCGATTTTTGCCGAGCCTCACAAGTTGCAGCAACACCAGACTGTGTAAATGATAAGTTGAAGAACAGCCAGATGAATTTTTGAAGGACCAAGAAATATATTGGAAAGACGGTACATCCGAGAAGGATATGGAAGAGTCAGAAGAAGATGTTTCTTATGAAACATCTCTAGATAAAGATATCATACGAGATGTGAGTCTTCTGCTGGATCGATTAGCTAATAAAAGTACACGGTTGATTGGCAACTTTACAACTAATCTTGCAGAAAGTTGGATGGCGATCCGCATGAAATTCGATGGAGGAAAAGTGATTAATCGCTGCAAAAGTGGATCCTGGCATTATAGGTGCTATGGTGGTGGACTCCGTAAGAACTTTGGGCCAGCATGGTCACCGATAGTGTTTCAGCGATGTACTTCAACAAAACCTGGGGTGCGCTCGATTCGCTCTCCGGAACAGTGTTCCCGGGAGATTCTGGATCAGTGTCAATCGAATGCACTTTCACAGGAAGTAGTAAAATCACAATGGCGGACAGTGGCACAATGGCAATCGTATGCTCAGTGATGGAAAATCTCAGTGACAGCAATGACGACGAGGACGATTTTTTCATCGTTGATGCATGTGCTGCATTATTGTAAGATTTTGTATTTTATGAAATTCGTATTTATTATCCACAGCTACAGAATCGCTTTCAGTTTAGTGCGTAAACACCAACGTTACATCTCTCTCCACTGGTCCGTATGTAGAAAGTCTGATTAGTACCCATATAACTTAAGTCTTTTGTTATATGTATATTCGAACTTTTTACTTACAAGTAACTTATATGTAGTGGCTACTGGCTAGCCCCAGTTAACAACATTTTTTTTTCAATCACAAGTTAACAACATTTTTCAATCACATTTTGAACAAACTGCCATCTTAACTGGCCAGAATATAAGTTAGTTATTGTATGTATGAATAGTGTTTAACAGACATACGGTACGTTTTGAATTGAAAGTATGGAATTAAACCCAAAGTAAATATGCAATGTCGGTAACTTGTACAGAACAGGCTATTTTTTCTCTAATTGAAAAAAAAAGTTTTAATGAATAAAATTTTAACTTTCATTTCTTTTGTTAATTACTAGATCCAGAACTGAAAGAAGCAAGATATATGGGTATGCTGATAATGTGGTCCCTCTATACAGTGAGGCTCACTTCCGCAGGATGTTTCGGATGTCAACAGCAACTTTAGATACTCTTTGTGACAGTATAGCAGATTTTCCAGAATTAAAAAAAGATGGAAGTGGTGGGAAAGAGTCCGTTCCAGTTAGGACACAGTTGCTA